GTAAAGGCCTACAATGCCCCCCAGATTGAGCTTGGATGACTTAATGGATGGAAGTGACTTCCTGGTATAGCAGAAAGCACAAATTTAGAAAGCATGCTAGCAAGGTGTTTTGACTATGTTTGTCTATATATGATTGTGGGAAATCTAGAAAGCAGCTGGGCACATGGATCTGAATCTCAGGTGAGGGTTGGAGTTCAAGATGCAGACTTGGAAATCACTAAAGGGGGGCGGAGAAGTCATGGAGTAAACAAGATCAAACACTGGTAGAAAAGCATTAGGGTTGAATTGTGTCCTCTCTCAAAGATGTTGAAGTCCTAACCGCAGACCTGTGAATCTGACCTCATTTTGGAAATCGAATAAGATCTTTGTCATGATCAAGTTAAGATGAGATCATTAGGGTCACTCCTAATCAATATGACTGTGTAGTTATATAAAGAAGAAATGCAGGCACAGAAACAGGTGCACACACAGGGAGAATGCCCTGGGAAGAGGAAGGCAGGGATTGGGATGATGCCTCTACAAGTTGAAGAATGCCAAATATTGCCAGCAAACCACCAGAAACTACTGAAGGGTGGCGTGGATCCGATGCTTGCTTGCAGGCTTTGGAAGGAACGAACTCTAATGACACCCTCATCTCAGACTTCCGGTCTTCAGAACTGGAAAATAATACATTTCTGTGGTTTAAACCACAGTCTGTGACACTTTGTTGAAGCAGCTCCAGGAAACTAATACAAACAGGTTGCATCTACACGGAGTATTGAAGGATGATTGGTGATGATCAAATAGAGATTATTCATTCAAAAACGAGCCTGGCAGTCAAAGAAGCAGGAAAGGTTATTTCAAGGCTCTTCCAAGCATGAGCATGTGAACAGCCATGGAGGTAGAAGAAAGGAAACATCAGCAGTTTGTACTGACCTCATCACAAGCTGCAGCCATGAAGTGTGGGAGAAAGAAATCTGACTGCCCACGAAAGTCCCTGTCAAGTGCACAATAGCAAGCTTCACCTTCAAGTTCATACAGAGCAGCCAAACGTTCAGGGGAATGATTAAATCCACTTTGTGTTTTAAAACGTGTGTTCTGCAAATATGGTGACAATGGCAACATCGTTCTTTAGTCTACCAGAAATATTGAATTAAAATAGAGCAACTAGGTTGACAAAACTGAAGAATTGCAGATGAAAACACAGTGTTGAGACACCCCCATAATTACCTAGAGACAGATTAGTGACAACTTATAAGAGCCAATGTGATATCAACAACCATGCAGGAGGTAGTAGAGGAAAGACCTTGAGAACCAGATACTCTCTGGGAAGTGCCCTGTTCCAAGCTCAGAAGACCAGGAGAGATGGGGAGGGAGAATGTTCTCAGTGATCCAATGCAGGCAGCAATACAACCAAACCTGATGCTATTGGAGCAAGCTGGGTCCTTCCGACCCGTTAAGAACCTGAAGGCCTTTCCCAAACAAGTCTCCACATTGAGGAGAATCTGCTGGGAATAGATTCCAAATTGAGCAGGATAGAGACAACCACAAGAGATGAAAGAGAATCTCCAAATAAAAGGGGAGAGGAGCAGAGACAGCTGACAGAAGAAAGTAACACGTGATTCTGCTTACCACTTCCTGAGAACACCAGAACAATGTGTTTAGAGCTGTGAACACAGCTCGGCTCTCCTGGCCCACTCATCCCTCCTAAAAGTACAGGAAACTAAATTAACTTTTAAAACTTAGCAACCAGAAAATTATCCATTATTACAATGAAAAGAAAGTAAGAAAAACTAATGGTGTTGCTGTAGACAATGAAAGCATACAAGAAAAACACACAAAATGGATAAAAATTAGAAGCAAATACTTCTAAATGAACTGAAAGAAAATTTTAAAATTGTAAACATGAAGAACAAAATAAATCAGAATTAGAAAAATTCGTAAAGAAATAAGTAGAAAAAAGTGATGTTTGACACAAAGGATGATAGATAGAATTCAATATAGGATTTTAAATTTAAAAAAAAAGCAGGACAGAAATGAAACAACTAGAAGGGACGTGGCATTGTATACACACCACTGTAAGAAGATGAATAGAAGATGGAGAGGAGGAAAAAATTTAAAGTGAAGAAGAAATTTGAGATTAAAAAGATTCAAGAGAAACTGTTAGACACACAAGAAAGAAGATATAGCATATATAATCAATAAGAGGCATCCAAGAAGAAAGACAAAGCAATGGATTAGAAAAAATGCTAAATGCTATCATTCAAGAAAAATTAAACTACACATGGAAACCTGAAGCTACTTAATCTTTCCTCAGAAAATTGATGCAGAACAGCCATTATCAAGATACATTCTAATAAAACCATAGATCTCTTATAAATATATATATATCACATATATAAATATATATATTTATCACATATATATGCGATATATATCGCATATGACACATATGCGATATATATCGCATATGACACATATGTGATATATATGTGATATCATATCATATATATGTGATATACATGTGATATATATCATATATGTGATAATTATATGTGATCTATATGACATATATGTCATATATATGATGTATATGAAGTATCACATATATATCATATATATATCAAATATGACATATATGATGTATATATACTTGGGACATCCAAGCAAAAAGATCAAGTAGCTTACAAGAGAAAGAATGTTGGATTTCTACCAGACTTTTCCGTAAGAACACTAGGATAGTAAACAACGAAGTGACAGATTTAAAGTGCTCAAGTAAATAAATTACATATCTTGGATCTTGCATGAAATATGCATAAATTCCACATCCATATAACCTAGCCTTTCGGTGAAAAGGTTGCCTGGATTTTCTGCTCTTGCACTTCCTTGCTGTATCCCTGCTATCCTTCGTTCTTGGCATCTGAGAATCTTTGCACTGGGTGAATGCAGTTCATTCACAGACTCTAAAAGTGAGGACCAATCTCCAATTAAAACTGCAGAACTTTAGGGTCTGTGTAACCCAAAGAACCCTATTCTCACCCAGGCAAGACTGATAAACACATACTGTTATGAATATGCAAGAGCTCAAGAAATATTGTCTCTGTGTACCTTTCTTGAGGGATCTACCAGAGAGTGAGCTTCAGACAACCATATACTGCAGAGACATTGGGAAGAGAGCTGGAGAAGTATTCTAACCAGTAAGTAAGGATGATGGACTCTGAATATCACCATTTTGCAACCTCGATTGCAATATTGTCAGTGGATGGTAAGATCATAAAATAGAACAACGAATCCTGATGTGCCTCCTAATGAAAGTACACTGCATCACCTGCCAAAAACAATCAAACTTGAAGCTGATCAAAATTCCAACACTAATTACCCACTTGCAGAAAACACTCAGGATAGATATGTTAACCACACCATACAAATACAATCGTTAAAATCAAGACAACGAAAAATATGCAAGAAATTTGAAAAGACTTGGAAGGATAATCCATATTGTAAAAGAGACTTAAGATACATATCAAATAATCATTATATGTGGATTCTGTTTGGATTGCATTTCAAACAAACTTAAAAAATTGTGATAATCACGGCTGGGCACGGTGGCTCACGCCTGTAATTCCAGTACTTTGGGAGGCCAAGGCAGGTGGATCACCTAATGTTGGGAGTTCTAGACCAGCCTGACCAACATGGAGAAACCCCATCATTACTAAAAATACAAAGTTAGCTGAGTTTAGTGATGCGTGCCTGTAATCCCCAGCTACTTGGGAGGCTGAGGCAGGGGAATCACTTGAACCCAGGAGGTGGAGTTTGCAGTGAGCCCAGATCACACCACTGCACTCCAGCCTGGGCAACAAGAACAAAACTCCACCTCAAAAAAAAAAAATTGTGATAATCAAGAAAATATGAAGGTTGAGTGTTTGATACTATTAGGAAATAATATTGTCTTTATAGGTGTGATCACAATATTGGTTTTAAAATTATTTTTAATAAAATACAGATGGACTAAAGTGATGCCTGGGGTTTGCTTCAAAATAATTTAAAATAATTTGGTGACAGGAAGTAAGTGGAGGTACAAATGAAAAAGATTGGCAGTATGTTGATAACTACAATGACCCTTGAACAATACAAGTTTGAACTGTGCAGGTCTACTTATAGGCAGATTTTATTCCACCTCTACCAGCCCTGAGATAGCAGGACCAATCCCTCCTCTTCCCCCTCAGCCTATTCAATGTAAAGATGATGAAGACATTTATGATCCACTTCTACTTAATGGGTAGTTAATATATTTTCTTTTCCTATGATGTTCTTAAAAACATTTTCGTTTCTCTTTTTTGTAGGAATACAGTGTATAATACATATACAAAATATGTGTTGATATACTGTTTATCAGTAAGGCTTCCAATCAACTATAGGCTATTAGTGAAGGAAAGAGTCAAAAATTATATGCAGATTTTCAACTGCATTGACATCCCAACCCTCATTGTTCAAGGATCAACTATACTTATCCTGAGTGAAGTGTATAATGGATACATTATTTTGTCTTCCTTTGTATATGTTTAGAATTTTCAATAACAAAAAGTGGTTTTTTAAGATGTAAGAAAGTTTACTTGCACATACATTTTGGTACTTCAGGCTTGCATTGTGTCCTAGGAGAAATCCCCTCATGAATACTGTTGAGCACATGGAGAAACTGACAAAAAAGAATGTACGTAGATTTTTAAAGTAGCAAACCCATTCTCCACCTGAGTTTCAACCACATTCCACCTCAACTTCCTCATATTGCGATTGAGCAGAATACCTTTATGAGGACTAAAATTGCAGTGATTTCTCAAAGTGAGCATTTACCAATATGGGTACTCTTAAGCAGTTAACTTTGGACTTTAAATCATAAGTCCCCGAGGTAATTGTTTCTTGTGCTTGCTTGCATATGATGGCTTGCAGAAAAGAACAACCCTGGAGTTTGAATTATAAACTATCAACACGCGTCTCTTTCTTATTCTCTATGTTTTCTTTCTAGATATTTCCACACAATATACTTAGGTATTCGAAGCCGACAGAGTGGGGAGAATGACAGATGGAGGTTTTACTGGAAAATGGTATATGAGTATGCGGATGTGAGTATGCTGCATTTGCTAGCCACCTTTCTGGAAAGTGCTCCACAGCTGGTCCTGCAGCTCTGCATTATCGTACAGACTCATAGCTTACAGGCCCTCCAAGGTAAGGGCTTGCAATTTGGTTTCTGATTTTGGGGAAAGATTGCCTGGCTACTTTTGTCACAATCCAAGGAACTGTCCTAATGCTCTTTGTTGACACAGGCCTGTGATATGTCTGCTGTTTTACACATGATTTGTGAATGAGGCATGATGTCTTCCTAGCATCGCTTCTCATGACTGGTTAATTGAAAGACAGTGCATTTTTGCTCTCCAGCTGTCCTCTTAGTGGGAAAAAAAAATCTTTATGATTTTACACTTGGTCAATGCAGGGATAGGGTCTGTCAACTGAGGCTTTCTGGCTTTTATAAAAACCAAATGTATTGTAAGGTGCCCATTTATTATTCCATTATGATAGAATAATTTACAAAAGTTGCAGAGAAAGCAATAGCTCTCTCTCCTTCTGTCTCTCTCTCTCTCTAACATACATATATGTGTATGCACGTGTGTGTATCTATAGTATTAAAGTAATTCCTACTGTTTCCTTTTGATGTTAAGAAAGGAGAGACAGAGAGGATGAGAAAAAGAGGTTAAAAGGAAATGGTAGAGTCACCCTAATATTTAACGAAAGAAGGTCATATGGGAAAAAATGTCAATGTTTATTAATATTTAATACTACAAAGTTTTATAAAATGGATATGATTATCAGATTAATATCTGTGCTTTCTCATATTTGATGATCTCATCACTGGGACTATTCCAGTTACAGCAGAGCTGCCAGGCATTTCCTTAGAGCCTGCCACTCAAATCCTTTCTAGAATAAGGCAGGAAGAAGATTAGACAGACCGGTAGGTAGGCAGGTGAACACATGGGCGGGAGGATGTTGGATAAGAGGGCATTTTCTAAGGAAAGCATTTCCTGGTAATTTGTCAATCCTGTAGCTAAATAGATGCTGTTAAACAGTTACCGTATTACAAGGTGCTCGCTGTGTTCGGATCTCAGCAGGGCCTCTGTGCGTCCCTCTGGGCACATGCTGCTGCCATGTGCTGGGTCATGCTCCAACCTGAGTTTTGATCTGGTTGGTCTGGGTAATCTCCTCACTGTTGTTGTAACTTTTTATGGCATGGAGCATGTTAGGTTAGGCTGAGTGCTTTAATCCGGGGGACCATATCAGGGCGCATGTCACCTGTATAGGAAAAGGAAGAGAAAATGTATACTGACTGGAAGCCGGTGACCCATTTATTCATAGATTCCTGGCCTGACCCTGGCTTCACACTGGAATAGCTTTGGTCCAAGATGTTTGAGAAAAAGGTCAAAGGGATCTACGATGTATATTTCTCAACTGCTAGGAAGCAAACTGGAAGAAGGGGAAAGTGAAATCTTTGCACAGAAAAAGAGAAAAGGCTGTGTGAATTAGTTGTGGATGACAGATGTGTTTCATGGTGTCTGGGGGTTAAAGACCACCAGCTAGGCATGTGGTAGGCCTGGTCTCTGGCTGTCCACTACCTCACTATAAAACCTTGCTCAGCCACTTAATCTCTCTGGGCCCCAGGTTGCTCCAATGTAAAGGTCACAAGTTAAACTGGATGATTTCCAAACTCCCTAACACCTCTATTCAGTCTTTGAATCAATGAATTCCCAAAAGGCATATAATGCCAGGTATATGCTTTAGGAAATGATCTGTAAACCAGAATACAAATGAAATTGAAAGGCAACATCAAACTAAATCTCTGTCAAAGCATTTAGTACTCATCTCCAGAACAACTTGGCAACTCCTTAGTACAATGACACAATTGGGAACCCTCTAGAGGGGAAATCCAGGAGCACCTTTGGAGGGTTGCAAGTCACCTTCTGGTGACCCGAGGTCACTGATTGTCTCTGTTAGTTTTCTAAGATTTGGAAAATTATGGAGAGGCTTTTCTTCCAAAGATGATGGAAATAGAAAAGGGAAGGTGAGAGAGGGATCTAAGAAAATAAGATCACCTTTTCATTTTAACAACATTACATAGGCTGGACGCAGTGGCTCAAACCTATAATCCCAGCACTTTGGGAGGCCAAGGCAGGTGGATCACCTGAGGTCGGGAGTTCGAGACCAGCCTGACCAACATGGAGAAACCCCGTCTCTACTAAAAACACAAAAGTAGCCAGGTGTGGTGGCACACACCTGTAGTCCCAGCTACCTGGGAGGCTGAAGCAGGAGAATCACTTGAACCCGGATGGCTGAGGTTGCGGTGAGCTGATACTGCACCATTGCACTTACAGCCTAGGCAACAAAACTAAAACTCTGTCTCAAAAAAAAAAGTTACATAAAATTGTACAGAGAAATAAAATATGAGGAAAATGCTGTCTTCATCAGATTATTCATCCTAAACACAGGAGCCAAGAGTTGAGTTGTGGGTTTTGTTTGTTCGTTTGAGTGGCTCTTTCCTGACTCTAGTGTCCCCAGCTAACTAACTAAGCTTGACGCATGTACATCAGGTATACCGCAGGCATTGAATACCGGACCTTGTCCTTAGCCAAGGCAAGCCTTGCCATCAAGTTTCAGAATACTATAGGGAAACTATGTTCTATTTCACTGCCAAGGTGGCCAAAAGACAGGTTCATTCAAATATCACTGAGGATCAATGCAAGTCATTGAGTCAAGAGGAGGAATAAGCGCACTAGGAGGTTCATCTTACTTCTACTGATTTTTAGCAGGGGAGGTTGGTAGATAGTTGTGTTACGAGACCAAAGAGTGAAAAAATCTGACAGTAAAAAACAATGACAAACCCTCCAGCCAACAAAGACCAGCTCAGGCAACGCTATGTGATCTGTTTTGCATTTTGTAAAGAAACCTGTCTTCAGAGGGAGAGCTTTTAAATATCCCTCTGCTGATAGATGATCCCATTTACAAACAAACCAGCTGATAAATTAAATTGATGTGAGTTCTAAGAACAGAGCTGTTCCCCTTTAGGAAAAGAAAAATAAATGTGATAGCCTAGTTTGACGTGTATTTTCATACATCTTCAGTGGGAAAAAAAAATTCTTGGGATTTACGTGTAAAAACGCAGCCCTCTGCTTTGAATGTAAATAATCGATAGGCATGAAATCCATAGAGAATTTGCAAATAGCTTCGAATTTAAATCTCTAAAAATTCTTATTTAGCAGGGAGAGAATGGTTACTCTGCATGTGACTTTCTAAAGTTAGTATTTTTTATGATAGAAGGAAAATTGCTTTTAAACCCAATTTCAACCATCTACCACTCTCTGCAGTGTTTTTAAAACTAAGAAAAATCAGACAAGAAATATGACATCTTAAAACTGATGTTAGAAATTGTATTCTCTTTGTGGAAGCTGGGTAGCCCTAGAACGCTGTTGGCTACTGTGAAAATCTTTCTGCCCCTCCTTCCTTATGGAGTCACTGATTCAGTGGAGATTCCTCATGCTGGGGGCCAACAAGCTCAAAGAGAAGTGTGGGAGCATAACTGTTCCTCCGTTTGTACTGGCCCAGGAGGGGGAGTTTGGCTTGTGTTCCAAGAGCAGGAATCAGGGCACAGAAGAGTCTCAGACCTGGACATCCAGCTCTTCACTCTCCACAGTCACCTTGGACATATTATCGGGCAGCAGCTGCTCTCCACGGGATCTGGGATGTCCCAGAGCCAGCTCCCCACGAAGTGTAAGGTCCCCACCAGGAGGCCTGACTGTATGCATGGCTGTAATGGCGCAAGGTAGTGTTCCCTGTATGTCCAGAGAGTTTCCAGTTTACACGTCATTATGTTTTCCAATCCCAACCCCATATCCTCACTAGGAGAGAGGGAGAGGGAGAGGAGGGTAGGCAGGAAGGAAAGGGGGCAGTGGCAGTGTCCACATGGAGGGTGCTGCTCTCTACCTGTTTAGTGATGGTGCCAAAGATGCTGAGGAAGATGTGGTCTGAGGCCTGTCAGTTTCATCTTCAAGCAAAATCTGACACTCATTCATTTCACCTCATTTCTACTGCGCTCCCCTGGCCAGACCACACACACACACTCCCACCCAGACCCCTGTGGCTGGCCCATGGCTTTATCCTCACCCCTGCCCTTTTTATCCCCTTCTCCTTGGAGGGGTCCTAGAGCCACTTAGACTCTCATCTAAACTACTTCATTGTTCTCCTTGGCACTCATTAAAATTAAACAAGATTCCTGAGCAAGTTCCAAAGGCCTTTGTGTCACGGTCTTCTCCTCATTCGTCACTGCTCTGCAGCCATGCTGCACTCCTCCCTGTTCTGAAAATGTTCCCATTTCTCTCCCACTTGCAGGCCTTTGCACCTGCTATTAACCTCTCCAGAATATTCTCCTCCCCTCTCTCTTAGCCTGTCTAGTTCTGACTTGTCCTCCAGAGTTCAACTTAACCTCCTCAGAGTAGCCCATCCTAACTGCTCATTCATATAATTTCTGCATTAGTATTTCCTCAAGGTCCCCTGAACTCCAGCCCCCGACCTCAGGCAATTTTCTTATTGTTGCTAAGCCTCAATTTTCCCATGTGTACTGAGGGATAATCATAGTGCTAATTCTTAAGATAGTAGAGATTAAATGAGGCTTGATCTTGCAGAAATCTACCAGGGAATCTTACAGAAATGCAGATTTTCACTGAGTAGGTTTCACGTGGGGCTTGAGTTTTAAAACAGGGAAATAACAGGTGAAGAATTTGATGGCATGTGAAAATAGGAAAAATAGTCCAAATTTGAGCTCACGAACCCTGAATGAAGGGGTCCCTGTTAGAAAGGAAGTACAAGAAACACTGTGAAAAGAGAATGGTCAGATCTTTTGACCGACCAGAGCATGGACCGAAAGAGACTGAAGCTTGAGTCCATTTGACTGAGAGAGAACCTGGTGGCAGGTCAGCGGGAGCAGCCACTTAGGGGGAGAGTGTTTTAGACATTTTAAGTCTGAAATGGTGGAGGTGTGCAGAAAAGCACAAAACTGTGAGAAACTACACCCAAGGTCAAGGAAGGGCATTCTCATCATCACAGAAGCCCCGCTCCTACCCCTTCTTACCAGCGCGTCCGCCATTCTATGTGATCACTATTTGAAAAAATTAGTTTTGCAGGTT